AGAAAATAGATCAAACTATCTCATCAAGGGGGTAGGTTTACACTCACAGAATGAGAAAATAGATCAAACTACATCAAGGGGGTAGGTTTACACTCACAGAATGAGAAAATAGATCAAACTACATCAAGGGGGTAGGTTTACACTCACAGAGTGAGAAAATAGATCAAACTACATCAAGGGGGTAGGTTTACACTCACAGAATGAAAAAATAGATCAAACTGCATCAAGGGGGTAGGTTTACACACACAGAATGAGAAAATAGATCAAACTACATCAAGGGGGTCACAGAATGAGGTAGGTTTACACTGAGAAAATAGATCAAATTGCATCAAGGGGGTAGGTTTACACTCACAGAATGAGAAAATAGATCAAACTACATCAAGGGGGTAGGTTTACACACACAGAATGAGAAAATAGATCAAACTACATCAAGGGGGTAGGTTTACACTCACAGAATGAGAAAATAGATCAAACTACATCAAGGGGTAGGTTAACACTCACAGAATGAGAAAATAGATCAAACTATCATCAAGGGGTAGGTTTACACGTTCATTAAGATTTGAGAAAATAGACATCAAACTACATCAAAGGTTAACACTCACAGAATGGGAAAATAGATCAAACAATGGAATATTAAGTAAAATCAATGTTGAGAATCAAAATATCTTAACTCTCCGGTAAATTAATAATACTTAACATATTAGTCTGCATTCAGACAAATTTAACATGATTAAGTACAAATGTTGACGTTTTGTGTATCAGGCTGCAGGAAAGGAAAATTCACCAAATCAAACGTCATCCCGGCAAAATGTCAAAATATCTTTCTGCAGTTCCAATACAATTTGCACTTCAAATGGCAATAAATTTTATATGTCATAAGTGCATTTTAACGTTGAGTTTACACTGATTTTTTTTCTTTGAAAGCCATGGAGATACGAGAAATTATAGCATGTATCAACAAACCTGTAGGGTAGAACCTTCGCGAGCCCCACGTGAATGTCGCCGAGATCACGTTTCTTCTTCATCCAATGATTATTATATTAATCTCCCAACTAAATATTTGTCAGCAAAGTTGCCTTTTAATTTTAAGCCCTATTTTTGGATTTGTTTTTCGTTTTGGTCGACTTTGTCAATGTAGCAGCCACTAGCAGGCCTACCGGGTTTCCCTCTCTTGCCATGCTGTTTTATTAATGAAAACTATACGCATGCTCGATAGCATGGAATGTGGAACCTCGAACACGTTGCAATGTATATATTTATGGACCATAAATAATTGATAATTTTAATGAAATAATCAGAATTATTTACGTATGAAATTTGTAATTTTTTGAAAGTGTATATACATTTATGAGTATGAAAAAAATTCCAAATCCTATAGGAAAATTTTAACAAGTCTGTTTTTGAAGAGATGCGCCGTATTGTCACTTTAATTGATCATTGATGTGGTATTAAACTTAGGCTGTTTAGAGTTAATTCTACGTTTAACGTCACATCTAAAGTTCAAAACCTATGAGGGAGGGAGGAAAAAAATAAACAAACAAAATTTTCAAACAATTGTGAATTTATTCAAATTAACCTATTCAGTACATTAAAAACATTACAATTAAGTAATAAGAGCATTTGATTGATATGACACCTAAGATTAATTTCCCTAGCAGAGTTTTTTCTTAGTATGTAAATCAGTTTGGGTCCTATTGTTAGCAAACAATGTAGTCTAAGACTGAATGCGCAGGAAAGTGGCTTTTAACTAGGCCTCAGTTGTCCTTTGGATTTATATTGCCACACGTCCATGGTACCCTGGAGGCAAATGCTTCTTCTTGTGGGAAAAGTTGATCAATATCTACAATCAAAATTATTGATGACAATATTTAAAAGTGTTCATGTTGAAATATCCTCAAATTGAATTATGTCGTATTTTTTCTTACTAGATCTACTAGATTAAGTTTTGAAAGTGTGAATACTAATATTTGGACCATACTGATAGCTGTTAGATTATCTTTAATACCTTGAATTCCACACAAAAGACAGGATTCTTCACATCTTGGAATACCCAACCACTTTCCTTACTCTCTTTCACTTGAAAGGCCCTATCTCCGGTAAGCTTCTCCCTGCTCAAAAGGTTATGACAAGTATATTATCTTTCCCAAAAATTGTAGCTATTTGTAGGTACATGTACATAAATTATGAAGAAATCAATTACTTTACTCATTACTGTTCCTTTCGATTTTTACAGAAATATTTTTAACATGTTTAATTAATATGAAACATATTAGTAAGATTTAAATGATGCTTTTCACTGTATATAAATCTTGGTTTTTGACACAGTTTCCACTCAGTAAAAAAAGTTTTTCGATTCTCTCCAAAATACAATGAAAAGTTCAGCCAATAGAATCACGAACTGATAGTCTGTCACTGTCAGTCTGTACATATGATTCGAAGACTGACAAAAAAAATCAACAAACAAGACTTTGTCATTAATATCTATTTTTTACTTACATTTATGGTCCCAAACTCTTTAATTCTCTAGTTTTCATTAATAAGACACCAAGTTGACCAACTCAACTGCCTTAACTGCGGCTATCAAACTCAAAGCACATTTTCTGTCACTACGGGAAGCAGAATTCAGTCGCTAATTGAAGAACCAAACCGGAACGGACATACGGAATTCCGAATTGTTTGTTTTTTTCAAAGACGAATTTCTCATAAACCTACGCGCGCGGGTGACGTTAAACGTAGTTTTAATTTTAAACAGCCTTAATTTCACAAATATTTTAAAATTAATTTAGATCAGGGGTCTGTTTCACAAACGTTTCCTAAGATATGTCGTAAGACATAACTTAAGATGTGCCTAAGTTATAACTTAGGAAGTTCTTAAGATTTGTCACAGCTGTTTCACGAAACAATCCTATCTTAAATTTTTCCTACGTAATTTCTTAGGTTGTGCATTTAATAAGAACTAATGAAATAACTCCTCCGCTCTATCTGTAACTCTCAGTATGTCAGTCTTTGTTATATTTTTAGCTTCAAAAAGGGAGGGGATTATCCCCACTTTCAAAGGACTTGGACAGAAGTACATGTATGTTTTAACTTTGCGAAGTTTGCTGCTAGAACTAAGCATTCATAAACACACCCTTTCAAGCCTTCTTCCCTTCCGAGCACACGACATTTGTATTTTTTTTAAATATTGTGCCACGTTTTATACGTTTACTTTATTTTGCTCTTTATAAGGTATCGATCCCAGGTATTGTTTTTACTATACTTTTCTACTTGTCAATAATTACTGAAATGAAATTCAAAATGATTGCTTCGTAGCGAACACACGTTTACTTAGTTGTTCGTGCTATGTAAAGCTTTCTCACACATATATATATATATAAAATTAGAATACCAGGCTAGAAAAAAATGCCAAATTCGCGACTACAGATATGAAAATACTAAAAGAAGTTAAATCAAAGTACTCAGAAGTACAGAGAGCCGGGCTCATTTACAGAGTAAAATGGATTTCTTACATGAATCACGTTTATATTCTGATGAAAAAAAATATTTGAAAACTATCAATATAAAAAATTGATAAGACACTGACAGTGAATTTTTCAATCCTAATACCACGGTCCGATTTTGTCAGAATCAGAATTAATATGGTACCGCAGCTGAATGTAAATAAACAGGCCAGTCTGGTTCCCTCTCCTGCTTTACCTCGTATGTGTAGAGAACTACGGTAACACTGATTATCAAAAATCCTTACGCTAATGAACTATGTTCTTTAACTTCTGAAGTTTTCAAAGTCATTACTACTAATGTTTATTTTATATAGATAAAACTTCGTTTTATTTTTGTTGCTTTATTTAGCGTTTGTATTATCTCAAAAGCGGTTGAGAGTAAGAGCTATATTTTTGCACGTAACTTTAAAATGGCGACTATGGGGTCAACATCCTGCCTTGAACAGGATCACATAAGCCGGCAATTGCTCTTTGAGCAATAAGCCCGGCTAAAAAGGAAAATTATTGAAATCTCATGCACAGCTATACATTGTATTAAGCGGGGAGCATAACTGGTTGTAATCTCATGACCGTAGGAACTGGAGGAGCACGGGAGGGGGAGGGTGTAATAATTTTTCCTATGTATAGAATACTATAGAAAACAAAACTGCGTTATGTTTGTGTCTTCTCAATAGTTACGTCCTAGAGGAAATTAGATGCAACCATTCTTGAGAGAAACATCTACCGGTATACATCCGAAGCTTGGTTGGGGGTTCATCAAAAATCATGTACTTATCTATAGTGAACAAGTGTTTCCATTCGTCTAAAATATCCTTTTTCGAATTCTTTATTATATTCATTCAAATACTTGTAATACCGGTATATTAATAAATATACATGTACATGTGGATAAAGACATGTATGCATGCATGTATAATAATTGGATCAAATCATGTGAAATTTTTTGTTAACAAAGGTGTGCTCTTCAGATGATGAGGGATTGTTCCAGTATGTGTACATCTATTTCGCCGACTCCAGTTTTTTATAAACCTTAATGGACTAATTTTGACACATGTTTGCCAGTTATTGAAATCCTAGTATTTACGTGCAAAGTAAAGCAGTTTTAACCTGGAGAGAACACAATCATCCATATACTAGTAGTCCATTGGATTTTCTCTCCCCAAACACATTCTCTCTCCCCGTAGGAAGTCTTGGATATGCAGCCGCAATATTTAGTTTCTTCCTAAGTCATCGATTTACCTTTCCTAAAGTTACGACATAACTTAGGAATATCCAAGATAAGACGAGGTTAGTGAAACGGATAAGTAATGAACTTAGGAAAAAGTTCTTTCCGAAGATATAACTTAGTCCTAAGTAGGCTTTGTGAAACGGGCCCCTGGTTTTAGAAAGCAAAAAGAGAAAAAATTTAGTCCTAAAATATATGATAATTTCAATGTAAAACCAAGAAAAGTTTGTAATATTAATTAGCATTCAATCCTAATGCTATATGTTGTGTTGTAGACAAAAGTTCTGGGAGCCTACATGATGGAATTGGCTGCATTATAAGGAAGGAAATCTTCACGCTGTTAAAGATTGTGATATGTCATTTCTCATTTCAAGTAGTGTAGGAAAATCAGAGAGTGCTTACAGTATAACTAAAAAAAATATTATGTGCACAATGATCAAGGTTTTTTTGTACTTAATAATTGATCAGTGTTTATCTACTTTTGCTTGAAACATTTTTATATTTTCTTGTACATACAGCCCTATAAGGATATGAATTTATTTTATTTTAAATTGTCTTATGAAATGAACTAATAGGAATGATAAGAAAATTTAAATTGAATGTTGTATTATTTATATCAAACTCTCTCATGGGACACATTGACAGACATGATTTGTATTGAAAATGAGATGAAAGCTTATTTTTTTTTAATAAACGAGAAACCATAGTAATCAAAGTAGTTATTTTTAGCTCACCTGAGCCAAAGGCTAAAGAGAGCTTTTCTGATCAAAATTTGTTCGTTGTCTGTCGTTGTTGTCATTGTCGTTAAACTTTTCACATTTTAATCTTCTTCTCAAGAGCCACTGGGCCAAACTTGCCACAAAATATCTTTGGGTAAAGGGGATTCAAGTTTGTTCAAATGAAGGACCAAGTCCTCTTCCAAGTGGAGATAATTATGAATTAATAAAAAATTAATGGCATCTTTCAAAATTCTTTTTCGTCAGAACCACTTGGCCAAGAAAAATAAAACTTATGTGGAAGCGTCCTTAGGTAGTGTAAATTCATGTTTGTTCAAATGATGACTCCCGGGGATAGGGTGGGGCCACAATGATCAAAAGTTTACAAAGGAATACATAGAAATAATCTTTAAAAAATCTCAAGATCAGCAAAGCCATGATTGGTTATATTAATATGGAAACATCCACAGTTATGTTTAATTCAAATTTGTTCAAAGTCATACATGAATACTTTATTGATAAAGTGACATTCTCAAGTAATAAAATGATTTGCAGACTTAAACTAATGCCACTTTGTAATCACACAACTGTACTTCTGAAAGATTAACTTCCTTAAATTTTACTCTTTGTTAACACCTTTAAGCTAAAGGATCAAAAAGCTAATGCTATGATTATTTGTGCAGTGTTTGTCAGGTTTTTGGAATACGGGACATATGTCCAAAAATCCTTAAGCAATTTTATTCAATTTCGTGGCAGAGTATCCACGTTTCAAGAGCTTTTTTTATACTAAAGTCTAGGGTTGTAACTCTTTGAACAGGTAAGGATAATTGGGAAAATAACAAGATATGTAATGGTTTGCTAATTTTTTTCTCAAGAAACACTGGACAGATTATCATCCATCTCACAAACAAGGAACTATCTAGAAATTCTTTAGATTACATGTATAAATTGTTCAAAGATTCACCTTAGAAAACCTGGTTTCAAATTCAATTCAACCAAAACCTTTTTCTTTTGAAAATTAATATTTTGCCCACTGTCAAGACTAGTATCATTACATCTTGTCAGTTGTTGCGTTTTAGAACCTCATTTCATACTGACTCAAAAGTAGGTCACAATGACCAAACTTTTAAATTTTGCAAAATTTCATTCTCATTTTGATCCAATGGTATAGAAGGTGTACTAGATTATAGCAAGGATAACAGTGTCTATAATGGACAATATCTGTGTTTTTGGAAATCTGGTTTTCCAACAATTGTTTGGAATTCTAATGGGTGCCAACCGTGCCCTGTTGTTAGCAGATCTATTTTTACATGTTTACATTCATATGGAACATAATTTATTTGAAATCTTGTACATGAGAAGAAGAAAACACTTGCTGTGGCCTTCAACTTGATGTTTAAATATATCAAAGACACATTATCAATTAACAATAGTCACTTCCATTCATTTGTCGTGAATAGCATCCTAACTACTTTATCAAACAAGTGATTACTTCAACTTTCATTCATCAATGCCTCTTAGTACGAGGCAATATGGACCTTTATATTAATATTTCCAATTTCCTTGTCCGAGATAAAATTTCAAATAGTTAATTTACTTTATTCCTACATAAGTGCACTGCTTGATCGATACTGAGCTTGTAGCACGTGGATTGGCGGAATCAAGAGGATGTAAATATAAGGAATAACTGTCAGATTTTTTTTATTTCATTGATAGATCAATCGATTGGCTTGCGTGATAATTTTATGCATAAACGCCAATCGATTGATCACATCAAGAAATCAAAAAAAGTAGACACTTATTCCTTAAATCACTTGCTTATTGGGTTTTTGTCGGTTACTTGATTCGATACGCAAAAGCATGTTCTAAGTATAAAAAATTTCTAAAGCGTTGCAAAGTTTTGACAAACAGCTTGATGAAACACAAATATTAAAAATCTTGTTTGGCATGTCATTTGATGGATACAATGACCTTGCTAGCAAATAGAACCTACCATTGGGTCAAATGTTTTTATACTGATTGTTGGTCCATTATTTATGTCACAGGGTCACGGTCTTATTTGTAGAATAAAACAAAATTGGTTCGGTTTTCTAAATATTTGTTGATGGATATAAAGAAAAACAGAAAAACTCTAACAACACTCATACAAAACAATACACATAGACGAGTACGAAACAATGGCATTTCTTCTTCTTCTTCTTCTTCTTCTTCTTCTTCTTCCAGTGATGTGCCTGGCACCGAAGTTGGGCATTATCGCACATGATAATGCGATATTTCAACATAAATTAAACAAGTAAATGAATTGCAAGATTAATGACCATCTTACCAGGCATCCAGTATTAAATCAGAAATGAATTTTTATATGCTGTACATCGATTGAATCGATCTGTGATAGAACAAATATTATGCGATCTGCTACCATAAAGGCTGAAAAGCTTTGGGTGGGGAATTCGATGGGTTTCTTACTTTATATAGTGCACGGGTTAGTAAAACATGCATATAGATTAGTATAACGAAATCCATTGGTCCATGGTAGGTCACTGGTCAGTCAGACGTAAAGAAATGCTAAAAATAAAAATTCACCTGTGAAAACAAAACACTCGCACATGGCTGTCATACGAGGGTTGTTAGAACCGTGGACAAGTTGTCTAGTGTGAAAAATAATCATCACGGCGTTCTGAAATTTTCACTACCCTTTAATACATATATTAGATATATACATAACAAATTTCAAATAAATATATATACATAAATTAACAAATTATGAGACTTTATATCATGTATTCTATCTGTTTACGGCGCACGGATTTTTAGGTCACCGGAGTAACTCAGGTGACCTATTGTACACATGTACGAAAGCCCGGAAGGCTCATTCGAGGTTCGAAATACGAAATTCGAGATTCTAAATACGAGATTCGAAATTCGAATTTCGAGATTCAAGATCCAGATTAACCAATCAAAAGCGGGTTCAATATTTGATTACTCCCCTTTATTATGATTTTACTATCAAGAAATCGTTTAATATATTTATAACAAATGAGTCATTTGATTAAATTACAATGAAAGAAAGAGTATTATATATACTAGAAGGAAATTTAAATAATCATTGGATTTTTGATCAGCAAGATATACTTCAAGTAATATTATGGCTTCTTAAATATTAAGTAGAATACATATTTCAGGAGTATATATATTTTTGTATTGTCTACTTTGTTTCCGGGGTTGATTACATATAAATAAAGTTAAAAATAAATGTCAAGTGACTAAAGATTAACAATAACCCCACCCCTACCCAACCCACCTGCTTATTTTTCCATACACTGAAAATGTTACTTTGTAAAACTTGAAAGGCGACGTAGTATTGAAAAACAAAAATCGCGTTTGTTTTCCTGATAGAAGAAATACTTATGTTCTAATTCGTTTCACTCAAACGAACATAAATTATTTACAATCAAAACAAGAACACTTGTCTATATAGGAATGGAAGCGCTTGCTTGCCAGTATTTATTAGACGTTTACATTTACAAAACACAAGTCTTCAATGGTACCGACTCTCTACCTTCCTTCTACAATATATCAAAAAATAATTAATCACATATCACAGTACAAAATGCATTTTAACACAATGATTTTAAATGTAATATAATGCATGTATGAACACAATTATGCTTCCATCGCCGCCCAGGAAAAACCAAAGATAAACAATAGGCCCATGGGCCACATCGCTCACCTGAGAGGCTTTGACCATTCTGTTCTTTACTAGATCCCCCCCCCCCCCCCTTGTAATACATATTGTGACCCCATCCTACCCCATTGATCATAATTTAGACAATTTGAAATCTACACTACCTAGGATGCTTCCACATAAGTTTCAGCTTTTCTGGCCCAGTGGTTCTTGAGAAGAAGATTTTCAAAGATTTTTCCTATATATTTCTATGTAAAATTTGATTCCCTATTGTGGCCCCGCCCTACCCCCGGGGGGTCATGATTTAAACAATTTAGAATCTACACTACCCCAGAATGCTTCCACATAAGTTTCAGCTTTTCTGACCCAATGGTTCTTGAGAAGAAGATTTTTCCTATATATTTCTATGTAAATTTAAACTTTGATTCCCAATTGTGGCCACGCCCAACCCACGGGGGTCATGATTTGAATAATTTAGAATCTACACAACCCCAAGATGCTTCCCCATAAGTTTAAGCTTTTCTGGCCCAGTGGTTCTTCAGAAGAAAATTTTAAAGATGTTCCCTATATATTTCTATGTAAAACTTTGATTCCCCATTGTGGCCTTGCCCTACCCCGGGGGTCATGATTTGAACAATTTAGAATCTACACTACCCCTGGATGCTTCCACATAAGTTTCAGCTTTTCTGGCCTAGTGGTTCTTGAGAAGAAGATTTTTTAATGACCCTACCCTATTTTTGTCTTTTCTTGATTATCTCCCCTTGTGTGGGGATTTGGCCTTCTTTTTAATAATTTAAATTTCCCTTTACCCAGGATGCTTTGTACCAAGTTTGGTCAAAATTGGCCCAGTGGTTCTTGAGAAAAAGTCGAAAATGTGAAAAGTTTACAGACGGACGGACAGACAGACAGATGGACGGACGGACGACGGACAAAATGTGATCAGAAAAGCTCACTTGAGCCTTCGGCTCAGGTTAGCTAAAAACAACATCAATTTATGTTGAAAAAACTAAATGAATGGCGGACTCATTC